AATAAAATAGAATCAATCGTTGATTCAGTGTGTCAAAAGCCAAACGAGAACGAATGCAAAGTGGGCTCCGTCCCTTTTAATCACACAAACGATCTTTACAGGAAGAACAAGAGAATCAGAGATATTCAAAATCAAGACATCAAATAAGATTTCACAGAAAAGAGCTACTTTTCTGCACAATCAGAATAATTTCCGAAATTCAATCGGAATAATTGCGGCAAGATCAAAGCTATCTGGCGAATGAAGAGAATGGATCAAAGAGGTCATAAAGTTTTCAAAATCAAATAAGTATTTACTTTATTATTCAACTTTAATTCTCTACTCGATACTCGATACTTTTTCTACTCGATACTCGAATTCCCAGCCTTATGTGGAAAGAAAAGGAGTCAAATCACCTAGAATCAGTCAAATCTGTGGGCAAAAAGTGAGTTCATGGTGAAATCTTAGCTATTAGGTTGGTGAATTGAAAACTGCTGGACTTTGAACTAAAATTTATTCAACATAAAACCATGAATTCATTCCAAATAATTTTCATTATTATTGACGACTTCTGCTCATTTTACAGGCAATTTGCAGATCCTCTTTCGTTGTAGGATTTTGGTTTGTTTGTGAGACAAGTGTGAGACTCAAAAATGGAGGGCTGGAGATGTCAGCTGTCAGCCCAGTTTGAGCACTTTCTTCAAAAGAAACCCATTTGATGTCAATAGAAAAGTTGTAGAGAATCAAAAATTAGGCTTATAGCCAAATTTCCAAAAAGATACACTTAGTAGTTTCGCTTAAAATGCAAGTTTTGTTGCAAGTTTTGTGAAAATTCGTAAATTTGGCATTTCTTGAAAACCAGTTTTTGAATCGTTCTGAAAATCTGGATATAAGCTTTATTTTTGATTCTCTACAACTTTTCCATTGACACCAAAATGGGTTTCTTTGAAGAAAATGCTCAAACTGTCACCTATGACAATAGCCGGTAGTTTTCAATTCACCAACCCAATACTGAAGGCATAGTTAAAGTTCTTGAATTGAAAAATTGTATTCTTAAATTGAATAACTCTTTCTTAATTGAATAAATCTTAAATGTAATTATTTTTCAATAGTTTTTGAAAATCCAGTTTGAAAATCCAGGCAGAAAGCTACATGTGATCGAATTCTCCGTGCCACTTTTGCGACTCTGACTCTAGTACTTTTTGTCATCCTTTTTCCACTACCAGTCGGTTTTTTTTCTTTTATTTCGTTTCAAAGTTTCAATTTCCCAATAATAATCTTATTTCCAGACTCATCGTTCCTTCAAATTTTCTCCACAAAACGTGTCGCATAATCCTTTGTCAGTGGATTGGCGAAGAACAGGACAAGTGTCTCCAGTGAAATCACAAGGTAAGTTGAATGATCTTCTTCAATCTTTTTAAAACTTGAAAAGATCTGTTTCAATCTTTTTAGAGCTTTTATACCTGCAAGTTGAAAGTATACGATTTTCAAATATAGAAATATTGCATTTCAAATATAGAACTTCACTTACTTGTGCTTTTTTGATCCCTTACAATTAGAAAAGTTTCGTAGCGTGTCTTGTATCAAAAAAGCACCAGAAAGGGTGTGTTTTCATTCCTAAGCACAAAGTACAAGTCTAATTCTGTTGAAGTTACAATTGAAGTTAGAGATTGAGGTTAATTTTCTGTTTTGTCTAGGAGTTTGTGGTAGCTGTTGGATACACACAGCGGTCGCAACAGTCGAATCAGCTTTGGCCATCAAACGAAAGAAATATGTAAGTTTAAATACATGCAAATGGTCAAAATGCAAAGCCTAGCCATTCTAAGCTTTAAAATGTAACCTTTTCCTTTAGGTTATTCTCTCCGAACAACAGCTTATCGATTGCGAGGGTCGACAGAGTGGATGCATGGGTGGATCGATGACGAGAGCGTTCAAGTAAGTACAACAATATGCCAGTTTTCTACAACAGTATGTACTGCGTTGTACCATTGTACTGCGATGTACCGTTGTACTGCATTGTAACATTGTACTGCATTGTACCTTTGTACTGCATTGTACAAGTACTACATTTAAATACGATAAATACAGTTATATTGCCGAGTATGGATTGTACGAGGAGCATCTCTACCCGAAACACGATTGGAATCGCTCCGCATCAAAGGACTGCAGTGAAGCAAAGAGAAAAGGCGCTGTGAGTACCGAAGCCTCTATTTTGACTAACTACAAAATGATTCAATGTACTTTCTAAAGCTTAATGATTTTAGAAACGTTTCAAAATCTCCTCCCATATTCTCTTCGGCGACAATGAGGAAAAAGCTGCAGATTGGATAGCAAAGAATGGGCCGGTGGCTGTAGGTGAGAGAGCTTTCTGGTCTGCACTTTAGACATGGACACTATAAGCTAAAAATGTAAACTACAAACGCTTCTAACATATCATTCGATGCAGAAGAAAATTGCGCGTTTAATGATACCAAAATCAATTCGAAATACAATATCCATGCAAAGTTATGAGGCAAAAGGTTGAGTCCCACCTATAATGGGCGGAGTTTAGGTTTTTGGCCAACAACTTTGCATGGATATTGTATTTTGAATTGATTTTGGTATCATTCAACGCGTAATTTTCTTCTGCATCGAATGCTTGTCAAAATAGTCAAAATAGAGGTGTTTATGCTGAGAAAAACACAAAAAACCTTAAACTCCCAACGGGAAAAAAGGATTTCGTTATAAGTCTACTACAAACCACTGTAACTTTCTTTAGCATTGGGCTTTCAGCGTGTTCTTTTAGCCATTAGAAAGCCCTTGAGATTCTCTATTTTTTGAGTTATAGTTCATGTCAATCCGATCGATTTGAAGCAAGTTAGAAGCGTTTTTTAGTGAGAGTTTGTCATTTTTGTAGTTTATAGTGTCTACTGCACTTCCTTCTTTCCTAAGAATTAAAAATATCATTGTTAAACGCTTAGGCTTTCGAATTCTAGGAATGAAACTTGCTCCAGCATTTTTCCAATATCGTTTCGGTGTCTGGATTCCCGAAGCAAGGGATTGCCTTCATTCCAAACACTCCCATGCGATGGCGATTGTTGGATACGGTAGGTCATTGAAAAGACAATCGTTTTCGACATAACTATGCAAGAATGTAAATCTTAGATTTCCGTGCAGAAACCCAGGCTAAAAACATGTGTTTCGTGATCAGCGTCAAAAATAACCCGTCAAAATATTGATCTGAGGGTCGCTGGTTCGACTTCCACCGGTGACAATATTTTTCAAAAATTTTTTGCTAAAATTCTGAAAATGCGTGTCTAGGGGTTATTTTTGACGCTGATCACGAAACACATGTTTTTAGCCTAGGTTTCTGCACGGAAAACTAACGAAACGTGAAAACAGCCATTTTTTGGCCCTGCCGCCCTTTACTAAAATAGCTGTAAAAACTTTTAGAAAAGAGATATCTCAAAACGGTTTTTACCAATCGATCCGTCTTGAATTCAGCTTTAGGATGAGCTATAAAACGTCGGACAAACTTAAGGTACTCTCCCAAAAAATCGGAAAGGACTTTTCCACCAACCCAATGTTCTCATTGAAAAATTTCAATATAAATTTCATATCTATAAAGTTTCAGGTGTCGAACCTCTCAACCCTTTTTGGCTCTTTCGAGGCTCTCTACTTTGGCATTTGCTGAAGCGTCGTGGATACTGTAAGTTTGAAGTCTCTTAAATCTTCAATAGAATTTTTGATTTGCTGCTGCAATGGATCGATTTTGATTTTTTCAGATTTTGAAGGCGGAACCCCGTACTGGATTGCCAAGAACTCGGCGGGCTCAGAGTGGGGAAATGATGGATTTATAAAGATTGCACGAGGTAAATTTCGGAGTTCTTTGTAGTGCACTTTGTGCCCAAAAATGCAAACGCACTTCTTCTGACGCATTCAGTTTTTCCTTGTTCTCGAGACATAAAGATACGAAGGTATGAATGGAATAGAGCTAAATTGAACTTTAGTCTGAATCGAGAGCCAAAAAAACATTTAAAGCTAGTTTTTTAAGCTTTACTATGCCTAGTTATGCACAAAAAAAAACTCAAAAATGATTAGGGAAAAAATTTTTAACACGTTCGGGACGGTTCGGTCCACCGGTGGTCGAAGGCCGTCTGGCCCCTGGGACGATTCGGTCCACTGGTGGACGAAGGCCGTCTGGCCCCTGGGAAGGTTCGGTTCACCGGTGGACGAAGGACGTCTGGCCCCTGGGACGGTTCGATCCACTGGTGGACGAAGCCCATCTGGCCCCTGGGACGGTTCGGTCCACCGGTGGACGAAATTGTGGTCCACCCGACGAAACCCCTCCCGCCCCAGAGACAGACGCTCTACCGACTGCGCTATAGAAGACCTCTATTGCGCGTTTCCCAGTAAAAGGGCCATAACTTTTTGGGATAAACTCTTATCAAAAGTTAACCAAGATGAATCTTTGTGGATGTATAACCGACAAGTACCGATGCATTTAGTGCATCGGAAGTAGTTTGAGTGTCGTCTAGTTTGCGCACAAAGTGCGCCATTTGAAACAAGTTCTAATGTCTTTTTGTTAAACTAAAATTTTTGGTGTTCTGATTGAAAGATTAACCATTTTCCAGGTCACAACGTTTGCGAAATGACTTTTTCAGCGCCGGCTTTACTCGACTAACTCAAAAAATGTGGTCAAAGACTCTTCTAAATTTAAAAAATTTTAGTAATGGCAAGATTTTTGAGATTTTTTATATTTATTGTGCTTGCTTACTATTTGACTTTAGCTCCTGTATTGTACTCATTAAATAAATACATTTATTTACATGAATAATGTGGTACAAAAAATACACAAGCACAACCCTAAGCCCTAAATGTAGCGAAAAAAAACTCATATACAGGGGCGTCAAAATTATTGAACGAATGCTTATTGATGAATTAAAAGAAGAAAATGAAGACAATCCTCCGAGTGTTATATCTCATTTGAAAGCTTTTTAATGAATGCTACAAAATAGAAAAACCGAATCAACAATTTGTGCTAATCTTGGAGAAAGTTAAGGACCTGAACGTGACCCTCCTGAAAAGATCTTCTGAAAATGATCTTCTTTTTTTAAACCTCAACTAGACAAGTTATAATAGAGATTATATTTGCATAAAATACAGAAATAAAAACCTCATCAATTAGTAAATACACTTACGAAAAAGTTTTGATAGAAATTGAAAAAAAACGTAAAAATCGAAAACTAGTGTTTTTTGAGAGAAATATTCAAATGTTGGTTGATCACTTGTTGTCAAAACTTTGCACTATCCGTTCCTAGGTAGAAACGGATCTGGACTAGCATTTGGGTTAAGCTAAAGAGAGTGGATCCTTTTGATATCCCGCCATCTCTAACACCCCGACAACCCAACTCAACTCCTCCAACGTTAGAGGGGAGTCCCTGGGAAATGACCGACCTGTACTGCAGTTGCATAGACCCGGAAGATATACATCTTTATTTACAGTAGTACAAAGACGAATAGATTACAAATGAGTGAAAGGGGAAGGAGGGGCTTCAAATGAGAGCCTCACTTGTCCTCCTAGGCAATCCCCAGGACCGCCCCTTCTCGGCAATAAAAGGGATTAGCACAGGGGAGAACACATTTGCATAAGAATAGACAAATCATTCAAATAACAATAGCTAAAAACAATAGTAACTAAAATATCAGTTTGGTTCGGAGCTGGCAGCACTGTGCACACTCTACAAGTGCAAGCAGCAAGTTTTGGTTTACTTCTGAAGATTCTGAACAAAGACATCAAGGTGACCAACAACTTCAGAGTTTTGCCCGAATGGATTAGGGAGAAGTATATTGAGCAAAGATCAAGAGACCAGGCAAAGATCAGATCCGTCGAGACCAGCTCGTCCCACTACAAAAGAGCATACGATTCTTTTGTGCAAAAAGTCGTCGTTGACAAAAAGCCTCTTTTGGATGAGGAGGGCTCTGCCGCTGGATCACGAAGAGGCAGTAAGGTTGGTGGAAAGCTTTAAAAGCTTTTAATACATCAAACACAAACTTATTTTTAGTGTCTTTTATATTTTCTTAGTTATCTATGATTTAACTCGCTATTTTCTGTATAAAATCAAAATTAAAGGCCGGTATGACTTTCTCTTTGAAGCTCTTTCAAGCGGCTTGAGATCTACAAGACAAATTACGCTGCTTGGTCAGCTCTTGGTTAGCTTGGTCAGCTCTTGGTCAGCTTGGTCAGCTCTTGGTCAGCTCTTGGTCAGCTTGTTCAGCTCTTGGTCAGCTTGGTGAAGCCCTATCAGAGATAAATGTTCGCCATCTGATCATAATGTCAATCAACTTTGCCAACTTCCACAAGACGTGCACTTTGTTCTCAAAAGCATACCAAGTCGAAGCCTTTAATACCTTTAATTGCAAATACTTTACAAATAAATTGTATAGCTTAATCCTTTAAACAGATTATACATAGAGTTCGCTTTGGCCTCGGCCAAAGACTTTGTTCATCCTATAGAAACTTTGTGTATTGTATTTTCGCAAAAAAACCTTTTATTGCCAGCTTGCTTCATTGCTAGCTTGCGTCATTGCTAGCTTGCCTTTATTTGCTTCATTGCTAGCTTGCTTTATTGCTATTTTGTCTTCAAAAAACGAAAACTGTTTGGATTCTGCTAAAATTTAAAACGATAAAAGTAACCTGGATATAAAAGACAAATTGAAGCCCTCATGAATTGTCTAACTGGTCCCTGTAAGAGACAACGACCATATTTGTGCGGGAACTTTTCGATCACCTTGTATTAGTTGCAAGACTGCTTTATGTACACACCATGTGCCTTGTGTATACATGCAACTTTTTAGAACTTTAAATCATCGCTCTCTTTACAATACAAGAAAAAGATTACAATGCAAACGTATGCCTAATCAAATTTTTTCCAACTGGAGAATTTTTGATGAGGCCAACAAATTCAGCTGTTAAATTCACCTGATAATTATAAATCCATCGAAAAGTTTTAGTTTTGGCCTTTGGTTTTTGTAAAAGCTTTCTTAAAATAACTAAAATTATCGACTTAAAAATGTTTTATTTTGATGCAAGCCAATGCTTCTATGTCTCATGGCTTTTCCTGGTCATAGGCTTTGCGGATACAGGTTTTAAAGTATTGAGTAGCGCTGAGTAGTTGCAAATTTCTCCAATCAACAAAATTTTAGCATCCGTCGTGCTGATCTGCTATTTGACGTACAAAAACACAATAGAGAATATGAAGTTGTACAAATGGGCGATAATCAACTCGGTGGTAAGTCCAGGAAAAGAATTCAACTGTATAAATAAAATTAAGTTAAGCCTTAGATATAAACCTCCTGGCTTCACTAGCTTTAAATGATCTAAATATAATATCTGAAAGCAGTTTTAGAAAGTCTAGGAAGGTTGACTAGCAATCGTAGAATGGATTGGATCATACAGGGTGCCTCATAATTGTCGCAACAAGTTAAAGTTCTGATTTTAAGGCAGACAAGAGCAAAAAAACAAATTTTAACTGAATCATATTTATTATACATTAACAATTATAAATCAACTATCAAAATCGAATCGGCCACCATTAGCATCTGAACAGGCTCGCAGGCGTTTCGGGAAGAGCGTGGCGATCAAATAGGCTGGATTGAGCTCTTCCCACGCTTTCAACAGTAATTTCTTCAAACTTTCGATGTTTTTGTGCGGCTTCGAGAAAGCCTTGGCTTCTAGAATTGTGCACACTGAAAAATCCATTGGGTTGAGGTCTGAAGAGCTAGGTGACCACTCAGAAAAAGAAAAGAATTCCAGGAAGTTGTTTTAGCAGAACTCTTGGACTTTCTTGGATTTGTGTGCCGGTGCGCCATCTTGCTAATAAGTCCAAATGCGATTTCCAAAATATTTACGAGCCCAGGGCAAGAGTTCATCCTTGAGAAGATCCAGGTAGTTATCGGAATTGACTTTCGCGCCTTGGGCAACAAATAGGAAAGGAGTCTTTTCTGTTGCAGTGATGACGCCGAAAACCACCACAGATCGCTTGATTCGATCCCTCACTCGCTTGATGTTTGTCTTTGTGACGACAGTTGGGCGTCTACCGCTTCTTGGTGCATCAGTAATTATTCCTTGTTCCCGTAGCTTTGTAGCGTTGAATAGTGCGGAAAATGACACTTCTATCGACCTTAAGAGATTTATGAATCTCCGGCAAAGAAACACCTCGCTTGTGCGATGGCGCACCGGCCCACAAATCCAAGAAAGTCCAAGAGTTCTGCTAAAACAACTTCCTGGATTCGATGATCGATTGTCGATGGGGATTTTTCAGTCATTCTAAAAAACTGAACGCGATTGGTATAATAGATTGGTAGAAGGGAGCAGAAAACAAGAATAAGACATTCCGGATTGGGAGATTGACTCTGGTATGCTCAAGTATAAACTTGCCACAGTTGTAGGGTGGTCACATCCGGTATTAGCAAGCTATTAAGAAGGGAAAACAAGGATATCGAGTTGAAAAAATAGTCAACCAAAGCCGATCAACCTAATCAAACAAATTTCGACTCAAAAACGAGCATCCAACTAATGGCAATGGCATTTCTAGCTCACTTGCTACTCGTGCGACTTGATGGCCACGCTCGGGGCGCCGATTTTTCTCGATGGCTATGCCGGTTTCTACGCTTGTTCTTTTATCCCCTATCCACCTTTTATTCTCCATTGTGCAGCAGTTAGTTGTTCATTTGAGATTCCACATGAGCACATTTCTAATATCTATTAGACATTTGCTCACTCGGTCTCGGTTTTTGACCGACCGACTTGGGATTTTTCAATAGATCCAAACTACGATTGACTTTTTGACTTACTGACCTACTTTTCGGCTCCAGCTTTTGGCTCCAGTGCATGTCAATTACCCAATATTCCTATCTAGATCTAAGCAAATAGGCCAATATTTAATGATATCCCCAAAATCTCATTTTATCTAGCATCGATCTCACTCTAATAAGTTTAAGAACAGAAATTTTCTTTAATAGCACTAAATTTTGAGACTTATTATGTCATTTCCCTTGCCTACATGCTATACGCGTACAGTTTCACGGTTTATTATCGTCTCTCGATAAGTCTACCGTTTCATCAGGTAAGATTTTGACTTAGTGCTTAATGGTAGTTCGTGAAAACGGCAAGACATAGATGCAAACACTGCACATATCTAAATCCTCATAAAGTTGATTTTCTAGGTGAAATACTTCAACAAATTTGTCTGGCTTGCCTACCCATTTGCCTATGCAACGGGGCCGATCGTTTTCATCGTGAACGCCATCAACTATTTTGACGACATTAAGGATACGACTAGACGTTATGTAAGTTACTTGTAAGTTACTTGTAAGTTACATAACTTTAGTTATGTAAGCTGAAGCTTATCCGGTAATTCAAATGGCTAAATCTCAGCCAAAACATATTCTTAATTTTTAGTCAGTCTCTTTCAAGCCTTCTTTAAGACTTCCTGTAAAGATAGGGCAAAGTTTTAAATTGTTGTAAATAATCTACTAACATCTCTCGACATTTTGACATTATCTAATCCAATCAAATAGTCAAAATCTAATCTAACTACTCGCAAAACTTATCAATTAGCCAACTAAAATAAGTACCACCTTTTTAGATCTACACCGACGAGAGACTGGCTCCACTAAGATCCGCCAGCGCCCCGCCCCGCCGGCCTTCATTTACGAGTTCACCGTGTGGGTTTGGGTGAGTCGAGCTTGTGAAGGATACGGTACTGTGTCGGCTTTTTAGATAGCGTTCGCAAAATTTGCGCTTGATCTTCTCGGCGGAGTCATATTTCATGTTGTCGTTCTGTTTATGGCCTCATTTCGCTCACAGACCGGCTACAATTGGCTTCACCGATGGCTTCTCGATTTGGCTTGTTGCCGAAAACGCTCACAATCAGGTGGAAAATCAAATTTAGCAGATGCTAGTCAATTCTTATAATGTGTGGAATGAGGGTTGTATCCCAGCTGAACACATTTTTTTGTGTCCGATTTTCCAAATTCTAAAGGATCATTGGGGTCAACGAACAAAAAAACATTGTTGTTAGAAAGGCTGTTGGGCTACATCTAAACAAAACGAATCCATTTCAGTGATTCTCCCCACGCATGTCTCGGGAAAGACTCTTGAATTGCAAAAGAGGCTATTCACAATCATACTCGCGCAGGTCGGTAGCTAAGAGTTGATTCCTACTTAACGAAACTGACAAATTGTATTAACAATTAACAAACTTTTTCCATTTTTAACACATTGCAAATATTGGGTTGGTGAAGTGAAAACTGCCGGACTTTAAACTAAAATTTATTCACCATAAAACCATCAATTCATTCCAAATAATTTCCATTATTGTTGACGACTTCTGCCCATTTTACAGGCAATTTGTGGATTCCTCTTTCGTAGTAGGATTTTGGTTTGTGTGTGAGACAAGTGTGAGACTCAAAAGTCGAGGACTGGAGATGGAGACTGGAGATCCCAGTTTGAGCACTTTCTTCAAAAGAAACCCATTTTGTTGTCAATAAAAAAGTTGTAGAGAATCAAAAATTAGGCTTATAGCCAAATTTCCAAAAAGATACACAGAATAGTTTCGCTTAAAATGCAAGTTTTGTGAAAATTCGTAAATTTCGCATTTCTTGAAAACCAGTTTTTCAATCGTTCTGAAAATTTGGATATAAGCTTAATTTTTGATTCTCTACAACTTTTCCATTGACACCAAAATGGGTTTCTTTTGAAGGAAGCGCTCAAACCGTCACATATGACAATAGTCCGCAGTTTTCAATTCACCAACCCAATAGTATTTATTTTTAGATAATCGTTGTTTTTGTGACACTCGGTGCGCCGATGCTTAACCTTTTAATCTTCATCTTTTTGAAAGTCTTTCAAATCAATGACTCGTGGTATCAAAAATCGCCTGTGGTAGCAGCGGGTTTGTTTTGCTTTAGCAAAACAGTATTATGTTCTATAAAAATCATGGTTCATTGAAATAAAAACACTTAAATTCTATAGTAAACGCTCTGTCACCCCTGCTCGGCTCCTATCACTCACTGCTCAACTCGATGATCGTGATCTGGGTGACAAAGGTTAGCCAAAGAACTAGTAACTGGGAGTTTTAAAACTTTTTACAATAACATACTTTATAACATCGAATTTTATCGAAGGCTTTGTTTAGCCGTATCGATATCATCTCCTCAACATGTTGGGCATCATGAAGACCCTCCCGAAACGCCCGTTCCACACCAACATGACCTCTCGAATTGGAATGAAAAAGGTCACTGGCTTGTGATAAATATTGCTCAAATTTTAAATTAAACAGTTGTTTTGGTACAATAATCTATTCTAGTCTCGAGTAACCATCCAATGTTATTGTCTAAAAGTTTACATTGCAAGTTATAGGTATTCTAACTAGTATAAATCAATTCAAGCTTTATTACTTACATACACTACTAGACGATGAAATATCATATTTGAAAAAAGATCCTCACTTTCGCGCGTCTGTAACTCCCTTGTCTTTGAGTTTAAACTATTAGTGTTAAAGGAATCTAAGAATTAAAGAAAATTGAATTAAAGCCTGAAAGGGCGCTTTTCAATCACCAAGCCATGGGCAGCGGTGGCCTAATGGATAGTGGGACGGCATTTTTTGTTCTTTTTCAAGGAGCCAATATCATTAATTTTATCTGGTTTTGGCGTTTTGGGATTAATAAAATTAATAAATCACTGTTTTCAGATGTGGTACATTATGTAACAAGAAGAATTTTTAGTAGAAATGGATGAGAAAAAGCTGAAAAGCTACACTACTGGACAATGAAATATCATATTTGAAAAAAGATCGTCACTTTCGCGCCTCTGTAACTTCCTTGTCTTTACCGTATTTCTAAATATTAATATTACCATTGTGTAGCCCTTGAAAAGAGCTTTCAGAAAATGTATAACACTAATAGTTTAAACTCAAAGACAAGGGAGTTACAGACGCGCGAAAGTGACGATCGTTTTTCAGATATGATATTTCATTGTCCAGTACTGTAGATGGTGATTTTCAATACCGAAGTGGATACAAAGCCTCATTTGCCAGATTAGTTTTTCCCACCAACCAATGTTTTTGATAGTTTGCTTTTCTCTTCTATAAACTTGTTATTCCAGATAATTGTAGGAACAGTAGGGTGTTTAAGATCATTTTTCAACCGCTCAGACACTGCACATTCCTTAGAATGTATTCTATGTTGATACTCAAAAACTGATTAAAAAGACGGTTAAACAAAAACAGAAACGTAAATATAATCGGCTAGGTATTACGGCTCTTGCGTAGTTTCTGGGTATTTTGAAAGAATTCGGGTATTTTGGAAAAATTCTGGTATTTTGAACGAGTCGTCACGCTTTGAAGGCCTATAACTTTGTTTCAAAGATCATATTTTTGTTAACTTTTTATATCATTGTACAGAAGACACTTCAGACTTTCAAATGATACTAACAAGGGAAGGTCAACTGGCTGAGCCGGACAAATGACATGCAACCTGTACCATTCGACGCAGAATTTCACCTGATTCTGAATCTGCTTCCCGTTTTTGCTGAACTTTACTTTGGCAGCAGTTATAAGCTTCTAAAGTTTTTTAGGACTCTGAAAATATGGGTTTTTAAGTGTTAAGCGCCTTCTGCGCGGCCTCGATTGTCTCTCTACTTTAATTTGATACCTAAGCCCACAGAAACAAACGTACTGGTGTCGAGATACGAGCATTCGTTTGAGAGTAAACTTAGACTACCCGACGCTCCTATAGGGGGTCGCTCTATTACAGCAATTATTATACAGGGTAACCAAGAACTACCGCAGCAACGTCGTATTATGTTATGAGCTCCATTTCACTTTTTGCTTAGCTGTTTTTATGGTTTTTGTGTATTTTTCTTATTTTATGGTATGTTTACTAACTTTGAATACATTGGTATGGTTGTTTTCAGGAATGGTGAAAGCGTCTCCACATCGACAATCGATCCTTGAGCTCAAGCGGCAGCTTTTCAGGCGGCTGTTCAGGCGAGCGAGATCTCAAAGCGCCTGAATGTCCCCAGAAGCCTCGTTTCTCGAACCATTCAACGTTATGAAACTCTCGGCACAGTTTCTGATCGTCCTGGAAGTGCGCCGGCTCAAGGCAAAGAAAATGCAAGAGTTTTGTTCAAAGACTTTCCCGGACTTCATCGCGTTTTCTGAGTCCCAGCTCGCCCGATCCAGCTCACCCGATCTTAACCCATTGGATTACTCAGTCTGGAGTGTTCTTGAAGCCAGGGCATGTGCAAAACCACATAAAAATATCGAAAATTTGAAGAAGGCGCTCATCAAAGCATGGGATACCCTGTACACCCATGGGATACCCTGTACACCCATGGGATACCCTGTACACCCATGGGATACCCTGTACACCCATGGGATACCCTGTACACCCATGGGATACCCTGTACACCCATGGGATACCCTGTACACCCATGGGATACCCTGTACACCCATGGGATACCCTGTACACCCAGGGATACCCTGTACACCCATGGGATACCCTGTACACCCATGGGATACCCTTACACCCATGGGATACCCTGTACACCCATGGGATACCCTGTACACCCATGGGATACCCTGTACACCCATGGGATACCCTGTACACCCATGGGATACCCTGTACACCCATGGGATACCCTGTACACCCATGGGATACCCTGTACACCCATGGGATACCCTGTACACCCATGGGATACCCTGTACACCCATGGGATACCTGTACACCCATGGGATACCCTGTACACCCATGGGATACCCTGTACACCCATGGGATACCCTGTACACCCATGGGATACCCTGTACACCCATGGGATATTCTGTACACCCATGGGATATTCTGTACACCCATGGGATATTCTGTACACCCATGGGATATTCTGTACACCCATGGGATATTCTGTACACCCATGGGATATTCTGTACACCCATGGGATATTCTGTACACCCATGGGATATTCTGTACACCCATGGGATATTCTGTACACCCATGGGATATTCTGTACACCACCCACAATTTTGTTGTGAGGCTTCCAAAAGTAATTGGACTTATTAAGAAGATGGTGCGCCTGCTCACAAGGCAAAGAAAGTGCAAGAGTTTTGTTCAAAGACCTTCCCGGACTTCATCTCGTTTTCTGAGTGGCCACCCAGCTCACCCATTGTCCCACCTAACTTAACCCCCCCCCCTTAACTCAGTTTGGAGTGTCCTTGAAGCCAGGGCATGTGCAAAACCACAAAAAAAATATGGAAAGTTTGAAGAAGGCGCTCATCAAAGCATGGGATACCCTCGATGATACCTATTTGCTCGCCACGGTCAATACGTTTCCCAAACGTTTGCAGGGCATCTGAATGCCGATGGAAGCAAATTTGAATTTAATTGTTAATTTGTTACTGTTATATGTTGAATAAAGATATTTAAGTTAATTTTTCGAGATGGGTTGCATATTTGATTAAAAGCCAGGCCTTTTATGTGTTGCGGGAATTCTTGGTCACTGTATCATTCTATACTTTTGGTTGCGGGAGCTCGAGATTTTTATGAAACTTTCGAACAACTATATTATTAATTTTAGTGGCACGTAACTATCTATTGTATATGTAAATTCAATTGTATATGTAAATTCAATTGTACGAGTAAATTCGAGTATACTAAAGATGTCAAAAAGCTCTAGCAAATCCGTTTAGAGTCGTCTGGGCTTTTTTCTCTACAAATTCTCTTGAATAACTTACAATGGCACAACAATAGCATCATCGGTCAGATAGATTTACAAATAAAAGTTTAAAAAACGGACAAAAGAAAACTTTCGTCGAGTCTCGTGTCTTGAAACTCAGAGAATTTCCGTTTCTTTAGTTTTCATGGCGAGCCAATTAGTTCTGATAATGCAATTTCTTTTCACCTGACCGATCGTTGACATCTGAGCCTCGGGTTTCTCTTTTTTTTCAGCATTCGCACCGAATGCAGGTGATAGTCAATCCGGATTTTTCACTTTTCCATACTCTATTTCCCTTCCTATTTTCTACTCAAACATCTTTACACTTCTACCAAATGTTTCTACCGAATCACGATCAACGATCGATCATCTATCTCATCTATGACATCTCCTTTCTCTTTTCGATCATTACTTTTTTGTGCGCACTTTATTTGATCTTTTTTCAAACGACCCACGCTACGAAGACCTACAAGAAGTTGCTTATCGCGCAAATGGTTTGATTTTTGGTTCTTTGAAAGTTGACTACGAATTGGCTCATTTTAAAGCTTTTCTGGCTATTGAATAAGCGATTTTCTGGTAAAACCGTTTTTCAGTGTTGCTCTCTTTGAACAAAACTATGAATGTTCGCTTTTTAGACATTCGCTTTATGCGGTGACATTTTGTCAACTCTTGGCCGACCAATCTACTTTCCATCACTTTACACGATCGTCTACTCATCTACCATTCTCTCGATTCACACAAAAGCGATGGGGATTTTCGCCTTTGTAAGCCGGGGAACAACCAGGTTCTCAAGTTTCTTTCAAATTTCAGGCTTTTACCCTCACACTTGTTCACGGTTTTCTAACGATTTCCGGAAGTCTCGGCTTCTACAAGTTGCGTCTCGTCTACATCGAGTACAAACGAGTACTTTGGATAGCACAATTCTCGTTTCTCGCTTGCGTTGCGGCAAAAGAATTTCTGAACTGGTGCACCGCGTACGATTTGTATTTTAATGGACAATGCACTGACGATCCAAAAGTGGTTAGTGGCGACTTTATGGGGGAAAACACCAGTTTCTCTTCTAAAAGTACTTCAGTTGTGTGCAGCGAATGGCATGTCGTCATTTTGTGACTACGATCTTCCGTACATCTTACAATGTACTCCGACAACTGCCGGAACTCGCGTCTGGATTGCGATAGGAGTTGCAATGGCACTGCTCGGCGGGACGCTGACGGCGATCTGTGTCTTGGTCACCTATGAAGCTTTTCATCCAAAGCAGAATATCAGCCGGAAAACCCTCGAAATGCAACGATATTTTAATACGGTTTATCTGGCACAGGTTTTTTACCGAATTCGTTACCGATTCCAATACGGTTCATAGTTTCTTCCGGTTTCAAAACGATACAAAAATTCCAAAACAATACGGTTCATAGTTTCTTCCAATGCGGCAAAAGGGTCCAAAAGCCCAATACGGTTCCAATTTAAAAAAAAACGGAAAAAGGTCCTATTTCCTTCAAAAGGGTCTATTATTATTCCAATACGGTTCCTATTTAATTAAAACGACGTCCTATTTTATTCCAATACGGTTCAAAACGGTTCCATTTCCTTCAATACGGTTCCCTATTTTATTCCAATACGGTTCAAAACGGTTCCGTTAATTTAAAACAATACGGTTCCGAAACGACAATACGGTTCCAATACGGTTCCAATACGGCTCCAATACGGTTCCTATTTTATTCCAATACGGTTCCTATACGGTTCCTATTTCCTTCCAATACGGTTCCTATTTTATTCCAATACGGTTCCAATACGATTCCAATAAGAATCGTTTTTCTGGTGTAAAAAGTGAGCTGAATTTAAGCTAGAAAATAATAATTTTTCAAAAACTCTAAAATTTTAACGGAAAGCTGCACTCATTTTTTTTACGAGTAATTTCTTCGAGTCGACTTGTAACCAATAGAAGAAAATGTTCTTGAATTGGTGGATTCGTTTTTAAGAAATTCCAGTCCAACTTTTTCCGGGAACTTTCTTTCCAACCTAATAACTTTCATTTACTTAGCTTATCGTAAGTAAGGAAACAAGGATCAAAATCAAAAATGGCTTCCATTTTTCCTTCATTTCTCTTTCCAACCTAATAAATTGAAAAAGCGCAACCCGAAAAAAGCGGTTGTGAAGCGAACTTTATTGGCATTTTGGATTAACCCAAAATTTGATGTGTTCGAAAATTTTAAAGCAGAAACATTGGAAACAGAGAAGTGTTTGTGCCCGGTAACGGGTTTGCTATAGCTTTTTTTCAGCTGTCACTTTTTTCGACCAGAATCAATCAGCATTCAGAACCAAATATCGGTCTTGGTCTCGACTCCGGTCGTGTTAGCCGTCGCCATGATTCTCCAGCTGATCACCAACGATCTTCTTGTGGCAAGTAAGGGTTTCCTTTAGATTAATCTCTTAGTTAATTTCACTTTATACAAGGAGAATTGGAGCAATTTGCAAAAAAATTCTGGTATTTTAAAGCTGGTATTTTAAAGCTGGTATTTTAAAGCTGGTATTCTAAAGCTGGTATTTTAAAGCTGGTATTTTAAAGCTGGTATTCTAAAGCTGGTATTTTAAAACTGGTATTTTAAAACTGGTATTTTAAAACTGGTATTTTAAAGCTGGTATTTTGAAGCACCAATTCAACTCACATTCCAGTTGCGAGTCTCTGGGAATTGGGCATGAATTTCCACTCAATCGCCATCAACCTTCTCGTGATTTTTTCATCCAAAACATATCGTCGAGTGATTTTCGGGTCATTGCAGAAACTTTCCGGGCTTACTTGTGCCCGGTCACCAAGTGTCACAACAACACATCACTCCCTAATCAATGTCCAAGCCATCAAATAAAATTTTTGTCCCATTTATGCTTTAACAACAACTTTATTTGAGTGCGTATAATGTGAATACTTTATTTCAACGCAAAAATAAAGGCTAGGCAACACTAACTAGGGAAAGGCACAAACTTCCCGTAAACTTTCGATTCCCGATCACATACAACTTACTAAATCGAGTATGGAGATTCATAATCTGAAATCAAAATCTGCCAAACAAACTTGCAGACGCGTAAAAATTGAATCGAAAGTTTGAAGATATACTTTAAAGGACGCTTTTTGAGTCGTTGGGATCTGGGCACCGTTGGCCTAGTGGATAGTGAGATAGCCTCTCGGTGGTAAGATCGGGATTCAATCCGGCTTTTTGGTTTTTGGTTTTTTTTCGAAATGTAATACGCGTAAAAATTGAATTGGAATTTCCAAGCTTTAAAGAACTCTAAAGAATTGAGGCAAATTGAGTTAAAGCTTTAAAGGACGCTTTTCAATCACTGAGACATGGGGAAGGGTGACCTAGTGGATAGTGGGATGGCCTCCGGTTTGGTCCCGCCGTGGGTTTTTGGGTTTTTTGTCTCTAGATGTAATACTTCACTTTGTAACTATTGAATATAACAAAGCAAAAGATGAAATGTTAACATATATGAAAGAGATCACGAATCATCCAAAACAATTAAAATGCGAACATCTGATAAAAGCAAAGTGCGTAATACATCTCTCGATTTCGAGCAACTCCATTTAGAAAAAGAATGACATTACTGATTAGCCAACCTAATAATATAGAAAAAGGTTGTAAAAACGACAAGAAACAATATAATTAATTAGTTTTTGACCGTTTCCGAAAAATCTTTTCGTGGTTTTGTATGTCGAGAACCAGTAGGAATAGAACCGGAATTCTCCTGAAGACATAATTTATGTGATTGTTTGAGAAGTAAACCGCTCGCCTGCTCTCCAAAATCTTGGTTTTATATTCTATCGTTGGACTTGTTTAAGTGAGCTAAATAGCTAGTAGCTAAAATAGTAGCTAAAAAAGTAGCTAAAATTTAAGTGAGCATTTAATTAAAACTGATTGCTGATCATTACTTATTGCTTTTTCCAAAAAGCTCTTCACCCAATAACAAGCACATCAATCGATCGATTTTGGTCATACCATTCGATTCTCTACTTAAATTCTTAAATTTCCTATTCTTAAATTTACTAATGCCTAGCAAATTTGAGAATATTTTGTTCCTAAAAGGCGAGTGTGCAAAATTGGAAAATTTTTGTGGGCAATTACTTAACGAGTTCTGGAAATTATCTCCATTAACTAATAAGTTAAAATATTCTCAATTTAGCTTCGAAAATTCTCTAGAATTTCTCTAGAAAATTCTCTACAGTATGTAACACATTAAAGAATCCCAAAAGTGCAGTTCCAGGATTTGTAATAATTTGTCTATTATAGATTTTAAAGTAAAAACGGTACTTGTCGGTTTGACAACTAGGTAATTCGGTACTTGTCGGTTATACATCCACAGAGACTCAACTCAGTTAAGCAAGAAGTTGACAACTTGTGAGTGGTGATTATGTTCAGTGAAGTAGAGTGCTCGTCTGAAGTGATCAGTCGATCAGTCGAACGAAAATCGAGAAACGAGAAGACTCGCATGGAGATGCTTCACGGAGATTAGTCTTTGTGAATATATAATCGACAAGTACCGTAAAAACTCTGAAAAATACTCTAGTTTATACCAAAACTCTGTCAATTTCCTTAAGTAAAGACATAAATACCTAGACTCGAAACTCTAAAAGACTCCTCTTCACAGCACTCAAATTTCTTCTCTGATGTGTTTGTTTAAACGCTTGAATTGCTGAAAAAAAATTGAACAAGATTTCAGCCAAGAGTTTAGTAATGGAAATCAAATGAATCACATTTATGTTCAGCATATTTTTGAATATTCTTTTGTTGGACAAAGTTCTATCAGCTCAACGCTATAGAAATAGCTCCAATGATGAGGATTATCAGCAATATGGAGTCACAGGTGAACTTTATTTGTTTTATAATAGTATAGAAACTTATTTTAGGTGAATATTCCCAATTCATTAATTCTGCTCATGATTTGTATAAGGAGCTGTTTACGAGAAGGGATTATCAAATGTTCTTGGCTCCTATCAACTCAAAAGTGACGAGGAGCGCTTTAGGTAAAAAAAAATGGGATTGGCTTTTAAACAACTGATAATCTAGCTACAGATTTTCAAATACTATTGGTTTGATTGAGAAAAGATGAATATTTGAAGTTTAAAGAACCAAAATGGTGTCTAGAGAACCGCTCTCTAAAAGAGACTTTAGTAGCTCAGCGGATAAAGTGCTTTTCTAACGATCTGGACAAAGAGAGTTCGATTTCCGTATCATTTTAAGACAATTGCTCATTGCCAGAGTTTTCCGCAGATTGTATATGTTTTTTTAATCAAATATTAAACACTTATTTAGATTCGGAAAAATTCGAGATCACCGTCGCTATTCAAAGGCTTATGGTGCTCAGTGTGGTGAGGAAACTTGACTGATTATGAGGAAAAAAGTCTGATAATCTGATAAAACCTGTAAAACTTAAAGCCAAGTAAATAGAACTTTCTAGCAAGTAACTTTATTCATTTCATTCTGTACTCGCCAAGCTGTGAATAGTTCTGATAACTGTGGATAGTTCTGATAGCTGTGAATAGTTCTGATAGCTGTGAATAGTTCTGATAGCTGTGAATAGTTCTGATGGCTGTGAATAGTTCTGATAGCTGTGAATAACCAGACCAGGTCTGGTCTGGTCTGACTTCATTGAAACCAGTTAAATCCAGTCAAATCCATTTAAAACCCATTATTCCTGTTATTAGGATATGGCTCGTCAAACGATGGAAATGTACTTTGAACTTGAGATGTCATGGACCGATATTCGATTGGCTTGGGACTCTCAAGAGTTTGACGATATCGAGATTCTCTATGTTCACTGTGATGCCTTATGGGCTCCTGAGGAGTTTCTTGTGATGAGGTTTAGTAAAACAACAATAAAAGTATTCATAGATATCTCTTATTTTAGTCCAACAATCAATGAAGGCCTTCCACAGCGTTTCAAACAGTGCAAGCTTTATGCAAATGGCTCGGTGCACTTTGATATGTTTATGCAAATCGAGAACATTTGCCCGATGAATGTGAGTGAAATAGAAAAAGAGGCTCTAAATTAATAGAACTTGTGCAAGTTCAGCTATCGAGCTTTTCAGCTTCAGCTTTTCACTTAATTAGCCGTCTTTTCACAAGACCTTTCTAAGGCTGATGAGGTCAGATCAAGCCAAACAAGTATTCTAAGTTTAAAAAAGATTTATTTTTTATTTTTTATGAAGTTAGCCATTTTAGATTCAAAAATTCCCCTTCGATTCACAGACGTGTTTGGTCGACTTCTCTTCTTTACAATACGAGTTCTATCAGCTAAATCTCAAGCCGGGCTTATTCACGAAATACCAGGGAAAACAGTTAAAAGTAAATATGAATACGATTGGATCAGTGCATGGGAAAGGAGAACTTTTTAGAACTACAGTTCAACACTAGACCATACAGGGTGCGTCATAATTATTGCAACAAGATACTCAAGGCATTGAACACCAAGAAGTTTCACTGGAAGAAGATTTTTAAACAGAAATAGCTTTATTTAACAGTAACAAATAAGGAAACAAGAGATCATTCGATGTGACCGCCTTTTTCCTTGATAACAGCCCTTAATCGGTTCGGATAGGCCTCCACTGCGGCCCGAATGTCATCTTGAGGAATCGCCTTCCATCCTTTGGTCAAAGACTTCTTCAAAGAATCCAAACTTGTGTGTTTTCGAGAGCAGACATTACCCTCTAAGATTGCCCAAATGGAAAAGTCCATCACATTGAGATTCCGGTGAGTTTGGAGGCCATTCATCCTTGGTGATCACTGAGGGAAAGTTGGCCACACACCAATCCTGAACGGTCTTCTTCGTGTGAGCGGGAGCTCCATCTTGCATGAAGGTCCAATTTTGATTGTTATTGGCTTTACACGCCCATGACACGCCCATTTTCCTGTTTGGAAAACGGTCTTTGAACTCTTGTTGCAATAATTATGACGCACCCTGTAGAATTGACTCAAATTTTTATATTAGATTGGCAAGTTATAAACGATCGTTTTAGGCAACAACTTGTTTATTTTATAGAACGTAAAAAAAGAAGATTAATCCAAAAGGTATTCTCCATATTATCGATGACTTCTTGCCATCTTTGGCGCAATTCCTTGATACCATTCTCAAAAAACTAAGCGTCCATCTGAGCAAAGTAGAAATCAAGTGCGTTTTTGACTTGTGAATGATCAGCGAAAAGTTTTCCATAGCAGAATTGCTTTAACGATCGAAACAAATGGTAATCTGAGGGTGCTAGGTCGGGTGAATAAGGCTTTCCAGAGTTTCCAGCCTTAGAAATTTCCAGCCAAGCTCGTCGAGTTTTTGTGAGTGACTTTTGCTTTTTGCGATTTTCCGTTGTCTTGCAAAAAACGGACGTTCGACGGATTGATGCCCAATTTCTTCAATAAGTCACTAAGTCTCGTCAACTGTTTTGAGTAGGGATCAGCATCGATGTTCTGCATAGGATTCACCAGCTCATAGTACACCAAACCTCTAGAATTCCACCAGCAACAAAGCATAATCTTCTTCCCATGAATATCGGGTTTTGGGGTAGTTTGAGGAACTTGACCTGACGATAACCATTGGTTCTCGAATTTCGTGTTTAATTATCGAAATAGATCCAAGTTTCATCAGAAGTTAAAATTGAATTCTAGAAACCTCCAGATTTGCACTTGTGAAGCAAAAATGAGCTGATATTGAATGAGTTTTGTTGTCTTGAGTCAATTCATGGGGAACCCACTTTCCACATCGATTTGTTTCCCAACACGATGCAAATGATTTTCGATTGTTGTATGCGAAACATCGAACATTTCTGTACATCGAACATTTCTGCCAAAACTCGTGTAGTGAGTGTTGGATCCTCTTCAATTTCTGCCTGCAAATCCACATCAGTCACTCCTGGAGGGTGCCTATCATACGACTTTGAGACTTTCGTTGCCACCTGGAGACTTTTGTTGCCACTTTGAAAGCGTTGAAACCATTTTCGACATTGACTTTCGCTAATACTTCCATCTTCAAAAGCTGAAAGAATTGACATTGACTTTTGCTAATACTTCCATCTCCAAAAGTACGATGAGATTCTGCGGCTGATTTTACTTGTTTAAAATCGTAGAGCATAGCTGCGCGAATAAGAAATTTTTCGTCCTCCATTTTAATAGGGGGCTCAGAAATTTGGAAGGGGTGCTATGTTTACGCTAAAATCTTGTAGTTTGTTTGCAGAAAAAAAACCACGCGAAAAATCTTTTTCAATTCTAAGAAATCATTGAACAAAGCAAGCGATCGTTTATAACTTGCCAACCTAATAGTAGCTGTTTCTAATAGTAGCTGTTTACAATGTGTGAAAGTTTACGGCAAAAATTCAATTTAATTAAAATTTCAATTCAATTAAAATTCAATTTCAATTAAATTCAGAGCAATGGAGAATGGACGATTACAAATACCTCCTCGAGCATTGAGCACTATGATTATGGACTAGAGGGAAAATCTTTTGATATGGTGGCTGAAACATTGAATTTTGATGATATTTTGATAATATTTTGATAATATTTACTTTGATAATACTATTAGATACTCTTCTATATCACTTGCAAGAGACAACCGAGTTTCTATATTTATGTCATTGCTCTACCATGTTTTCTATTGACTTTTCTGTCGATAGTTGGCTGCTTTTGGAAGGCAAATGTTCAGGAGGAACAGTTGGAAAAGGTTTGTTCGAATTTTGATTCATCCTGCCCATATTTTCCTTTAGTTAGCCATTGCTTTGACCTCAATGATGTCGATGACCACCTTTGTGCAAATGGTCTCCGAGCAAATGCCGAAGACATCACAGTTTCCGTTGTTAGGTGAGAATGTTTAGAAAGCTTTTAGGATTAGTAGCATTAGCATTAGCATTAGCATTAGCATTAGCATTAGCATTAGCATTAGTACGTTTTACTCAAGAACTGTGGACTGTTCTATCAAAGTGTCAATACATATTGACAAATATTGTTAAATCTAACGAGGAATGGCAAAGTTTTTGAAACAAAGTTAGGACAAAGTTAGGACAAAGTTTTTGGACAACTTCCCTTCATTTAGAGCGGCTTTTCACTGGACACTTAACGCTATAATATCTCTTTTCTTTAATTTCTTCAATATACAGATGTTTATCATTAAACTAGAACTTGATTGTTCTTTTGTTTTTTCGAAATTGTTTCGAAATTTTTCGAAAAACGAGCTAGAACTAGCTCAAAGTCTATTCCAAAATCCTCAAAATCTTATTTCCTTTCACCAATGGCGGTATGACTGACTAGAAATCAGAAAATAGACAATCTTGGTTGCTTAAAAATCGTCCCAAGAAAGATCGGACATGTTCTGGGTTCAGAAAATCTCTATTGATTCTTTATTTAGGAATATTCGTCTTAACCTGTGTCTTCATCACTTCCGTGGCTTGTGTCAGCCTCATCGTGTTCGCCGAGAAATGCAAGAAACATAGAAAAGAAGAGTCAGGAAAGATAAAAACAAAAGAAACACTACTAAATTTTAGAACTTCTCTTATGGAACGGATAAAATTACACGTAAAGTCGACGCATTTCGCCTTTTTTGTTCTTTTCCAAGGAGCCAATATCATTAATTTTATCGTGTTTTTGTCGTTTTGGAATTAATAAAATTAATAAATCACTGTTTTCAGATGTGGTACAACAAGAAGAATTTTTAGTAGAAATGGATGAGAAAAAGCTGAAAAGCTACACTACTGGACAATGAAATATCATATTTGAAAAAAGATCGTCACTTTCGCGCGTCTGTAACTCCCTTAGCTTTACTGTATTTCTAAATATTAATATTACCATTGTGTAGCCCTTGAAAAGAGCTTTCAGAAAATGTATAACACTAATAGTTTAAACTCAAAGACAAGGGAGTTACAGACGCGGGAAAGTGACGATCGTTTTTCAAATATGATATTTCATTGTCCAGTGCTGTATCTCCTGAAACTCAAGCAAATACTAGTACTATACGAGGAATTGGTTGACACACCATATCGTAGCACTATTTGCATGAAACATTCCGTGGTTTGCCATTAGAATTGCGGTACACAACGGCTTAGGATGCTGAGATTTTCCGGGGTTGCGCATAAGCCAAAGTCAGAAATGTGGATATGGCCATATGAGCACTATCACAATAAAAAGAAAATGGAAATGAGAAAGAACACGGTAGATGATATTCTGCATAACGTGAAAGCAATGTAAATAAAATACACCATTTTGCACTTTAATGACTTAACGATCAAGTACTCAAAAGGGAGAAAATTCCACGATACAATATGCACAAATACAAAGAAATGAGGCTGTTTGAAGTATATTTATAGATTCTAGGATCTTCTTGTTGCATTTTGTTTGTTGCATTTGTTTGTCGCACGATTTCATTTCATTTCATTTTCATTTTTTCAGAAATGATGAGCTGATGCCGAGAAGACGGTCATCCACAATGAGACACAGCCCATCAACACTTAAAAGCGGATCAATTACGGATCGATGGCCACGAGAAGATCGGAGAGACAAAATAGGATCGATGACCACGAGAAGATCGGAGAGACATCGTTTTGATTCATTGGATTTGAGTTCATTTGATTGGATTGCTTAGATTTGAATCCATTAGTTTTGGAAAAACAAATTAAAAAACAAGTTAAAAAACAGATTTTTGTAATCATTGCAAAAACAACCAACTGACAAATTCGTTGCGTTTGAATGTAAACTTGAATTCAGAATGTTATCACTATTTCTATTCTTAAAATTCTCAAGGCTTTGTTTTGAAGTTTTGAATGTTTTATCAGATTTTTAGTGAATAGCTATCAAATGAACATGTGTTGATAGCAAATGAAAGTGAAACCATCACGTGAGAAGAGATTTCCTTCATAGGCAAACAGTGATATCCTTGACAAAGTATTTGAAAAAATATCTCTCAAATTTTAATCTGGTTTATCTGCTTTTGATTGATACTAAAAGAAAACTAATAAAAAGCCAGGAAATCGTGAACATACCATTGATAACACAAGAAAGTCAAACGAAAAAAACTCTCTGGTATAAAAGTTAAAGAGAGTTGAGATTTGGAACTTTTGACCTTCCTTCAGTCTTTTTGTCATAATTTATTCACTTATAGTTAAGGATTTATTCGTTTCAGATCACTACAAACAATGAAACTATTCCTTTTCATTTTCACCATTCTCACCTTGTTCGCTATGACCAAGTGAGTTCTAGTAAAATCGAAAATATCAAGGCTATGAAGAAGTAGATTTACTATGAAGCTATGAAGATGTAGAAGCGATGAAGCTATGAAGATGTAGAAGCTATGAAGATGTAGAAGCTATGAAGATGTAGATTTACTATGAAGTTATGAAGATGTAGATTTACTATGAAGTTATCAAGCTGTAGATTTACTATGAAGCCATGAAGATGTAGAAGCTATGAAGATGTAGAAGCTATGAAGATGTAGATTTACTATGAAGTTATCAAGCTGTAGATTTGCTATGAAGCTATGAAGAGGAAGATAATGAAAATTTACTAATAAAGTACAGCTTGCTGAAGTAATTTACTAATAAACTAAGTATAATTTAAGTATAATTTACTCATAAAGTACAGCTTGCAAAGAAGTTGCTAAAATTTTTTTTTGAGGGAATCGAAGAAAATTGGCAACTCGCTTTGTGAAAATCCTAACGGAAAACCTAGCTTAATGGGACATTTCGGTCGTCAAAACGTTAGACATGGTCAAAATTAAACAAGATTCAACTTTTATTTAACTCACGGTCACGGTTGATCTGATTTTATTCAATCCATTAATGAATTTAGTGCTTCAACGCGAGGCGAAGGAAAAGCAAAGAGGGAAACAACGTGAGTAATTCACTTTTTTACAAGAACGCTATCCATTTAAACAATATAATTCAAAAGCTATTGTTTTAATAGATTCGATTTTAATAGAAATCAATCGATAAATCCAATTTTATAGTGCACTTCGAGCAAAGAGATTGGGCGTGTCGTTGGCTGTTTGTTGTGATCGATCCAATCCACTACCTGGATGTCAAGACTGTTAGAACGATTGGCTTTAAACTCAAAGATCAAATCAAAGATAAATTTCTACATTAATTTCTTATTTTTTTGATAAAGAAAATAAATTTTGAATCAAAAACCATCGCATATAAACGAGATTTTATCCGAAAAAGTTACACAAGTATTAATAAAAAGAAAGCCAAATTTCGAAGCCAAACCAGAGCCAGTGCATACTCATTATAAACTTTCCATGTCTGGCTTGGTTTGACCTTGATTTTGTGGCCAATCAATGCGAAGGCTTAGGCTTAGGCTTAGGTTTAGGCTTTAACTTCTCTGATCTGGCCTAACATGGCCGGTCATGACCTGAAGAAGAGGCTTTGCTAACTTTGAAACAGCCCAGAGTCTATTGAATGCTTCCATTCTCAGTCAGGGATGCCCAAATTAAACATCTGATTTCGAATTTCCACGATGACCGAACTCCGGAGAATGACGCAATTCCAAAGCTCTTTGTTGACGATTTCAATTGTCATTTGGATTGGATCGAATCGACAAAGTTTTTCACCGATTTTGTAATGCTGTAATTCTTTGGTTTACAAATTCTTTTTGGTAGCTATATTTTACCCATTTCAAGAGCATTTTACAGACATCTTCACTTCGGCAAAGTCGTTCAACGACAAAACGTCTAGCTGACGCTGGATTCAAGGATTCTTTTCGGGAAATTCATCCCTTGAAGATGCCAGACAAAATTTCGTTTTTAAAGAATTCACAGCCACTTCAGGAAATACATGGTCAACTTCCAACAAATGGAGCAAAACATTAAACGCATCGGAGCCACAAAACCGAATCGATTTCATCTTGTATCGAGGCAATATTAAACCGATCAAGTGAGTATTCAAAGTTTAGCTTTGGTCTAATCTGTTATAGTTTTAAACTGACAATAAGTTTAACCATTTTTTTGGATTTGCGACTTTCAAGCAAAGGTTTTTGCCAAGCTTCAAGAATTTGATTCTTTAAAAACAATGAGTCAGACCTGGCTCCCGTCTAGTTTTGACACTGCCCCTTGGAGAAGTAGCACATTCTTGAGTCAAACAAATCGCGATTAATCGTGTCCCCTTTCTCTTTCTCCTTGGCTAAATTACTCTACCTAAGAAAAGTTGGTAGCTTTTAAAGCTCAACTCGGCTCTCGTTATCTCTTTTATAATAGTTGGATGAATGTTTAAACTTTTAGTTCGGTAATGTACGGTGGCCGGGAGAATGGAAAGGATCAGCTCTGGCCAACGGAAAGGATCAGCTCTGGCCAATGGAAAGGATCAGCTCTGGCCAATGGAAAGGATCAGCTCTGGCCAATGGAAAGGATCAGCTCTGGCCAATGGAAAGGATCAGCTCTGGCCAATGGAAAGGATCAGCTCTGGCCAATGGAAAGGATCAGCTCTGGTCAACGCAAAGGATCAGCTCTGACCAACGAAAAGAATCAGCTCTGGCCTTCCGATCACTACGCTGTCTACAAAGATTTTGAGTATTGAGTTGAAAATAAATGAAGTTATGAATTTGAATTGAAAAAGCCAGAAGGAATTGCCCTGAAATTTTTTTATTAAACAAAATTTCTTTTCTTCATTCTTTATTACCAGTTACGCGGCAGCTTTCCTAAAAATTGTATTAAATTCTCTTAAATGCAAATTTGAAATGCAAATTAGGCGGTCGTTGCAAATTTTCGTCGAATAACTCGAATAACTCAGCGGGAAATGATGTTTTTTACAAACGGCTGATAAAATCCGGGAAGTTTCATTCACACCAGTCTTGGACAATTTGGATTTTGTGAGCAGGCGCCGCATCCTGCTGAAAGCACCAAATTTTGTTTCCGAAGTGACTTTGTGCTCAAAAAGTAGCACAGAGGGTCAACCGAAAAGCGCATAACAGCAAAGCGTGGCAAACGGTGGTTGGTGCATTTTGGGGCATCCTCTATTTTGTTTGCCAGCCAGCTGTAAGTGTGCTTTACCATTACATCATTGCATATTTCTCCTTTTAACTGTGACAAGCTTTGAAATGTTTAGGTCAGTACATCTTTATCCCACATGTTATAACAGTTAAATGATATATAAATAAAGCTCAAAGTGTCGGTGTGGCTTTTTTTGTGGCGCTTCTCGTCAGGGTAGGCGTTTGTGACACTTGTAAGTTGTTTCGCGATTTCTTGATTCCTCTACGAAAACACTCAGCCGTCACCGAACTAAAAAGAACTCTAAAAAGATATTTCCTAAACCAAAACACAAAAATTCATTCAGAATATCGGCAATTACAAGGACATTCAAAAAGTGAACTCTGTTTCCCCAAAGGCCCTTGGGGAAACCGGTTTACAGCCAAAAATTGGCTGTAAACCGTTTATTTTCGAAGTTTGTGATAGTTCAAAACTAAAATTTGCTAAATGATTAGAGATATTAGCTTATCCTTGAGATTAACGTCTAGTTAAAGGGCTAAGTAAAAGCGCTAAGTAAAAGGGGATGCAGTTAAAACAGCGCAATGTTCAAAATAGGGCCTTCAGATTTCTCACAATCCAATAAATCAAGCCGGTTCAAGTTTTATACCAAAAAAAATTCCTTGCGTTCTTGGCTACACGATGGGTGAAACAGTTTTAATTGAATTGAATTTAAAAAATGAAATGATCAAATTAGATTCATAGATAAAATTAGCGTTCAATTTGTGTGTCGAATGATTAAATCCAGTTGGTTAACTGAATATCTTTAAAAACTCATTTTAAGCGTTCTTTTTGGGGTAGGCTAGTTTCCGTAATTTTTTTTTGCGCAACAGGGTCATTTGCGCAATAGGACCATTTGCGCAACTTGCCATAGCTTTCTTCTAAGTGAACCAATCTTTATGATTTTGGTGTCATTTTGTAGATCTCAACAAGCGTAATAAAATGACACCAAAATCATAAAGATTGGTTCACCTAGAAGAAAGTTATGGCAAGTTGCGCAAATGGTCCTCTTGCGCAAATGACCCAGTTGCGCAAATGGTCCTTTTGCGCGAATGACTCAGTTGCGCAAATGGTTCTCTTGCGCAAATGACCCAGTTGCGCAAATGACTCAGTTGCGCAAATGACCCAGTTGCGCAAATGACCCAGTTGCGCAAAAAAAATTGCGGAAACTAGCCTACCCTAACTAGTCTTTTTATCTATCGCTCTAACTTTTTTTAAAAACTCTTTCACCCATCATACAGCCAAGAAGGCAAGAAATTTTTTGGTATAAAACTTGCATTGGATTGGTTTTTTGGATTTTGAGAAATTTGAAGTTGCTGTTTTGAACGTTTTTTTATTATGACGCTCCTTTGAACGTTTGCTATTATGGCGTTGTTTTAACTAGATCTAGTAAAAGTTAGGACACCTTGAGATCAAATTAAAGAAGAAAAACGTATTGAAGTCGATGAGTTGCGAGAAAAGCTGCACAGCGTTGTTGTCAAGACAAAAGAGCATGAGGTTGCCGATGAAATACATAAAAATCGTGTTGCCGAGAGTGAGCGTCGTGTTGACCAGCATCTAAACGAAAATAATTAACAGATTTTAATTCCAATAGACAGATACGTCTCTTCTAGTAAATTTAACTGTAAAATTGAAAGAGACAGGATTTAGTAGCTACGTTTAAGATCAGCTTTTGTCTTAGACTAGCAGCCAGACTAGACAGCCAATAGACATAGACATGGACAATGAGCGCGGCCGACTTTCTGACAAATCGGAAAGTGAAGATGGTACAAACTCGACCCTAGACAAACGAGAGAAATTTTGGTGCTATTCCTAAACTCATTGCCATTCTTAAACTCATTGCCATTCTTAAACTCATTACCATTCTTAAACTCATTGTCATTCTTAAATTCATTGCCACTCTTAAGTTCATTGCCATTTTGTAACATTCTCAAAATCTTTTTTTTCTTTGCTTTTTCTTTAATCTTTTCAAACTAAGCAAATCTGTTTGGCTTGCAATTCTGGATCACTAAGAAAAACTCTCATACCTGGGTCATCAAAGCCAACTCGGCACTCGATACTTTTCGATGAGATTTCACCTAAAAATCATAAACATTGTTAACAAAATGTCTAGTTTTTAACTGTGATTTTTAAGGCCAACCATCTTTAGTTTCCGATTTGTCAGAAAGTCGGCCGCGCTCATCAAAAAATAGGGAAACATGAGGAAGACGTTGCTGAAGATAGTAGAAAAGAAGTTAAAGTTGTCAAGATTTAACAAAGCTGGCGTAAATAAGCCAATAAAACACGTAGTAAAGGCAAACACAAATGGGGAAATCATCTGAATGAACGGCCATTTCAATGTCTTCCGAAAGTAGATTCCATCAAAATGAACGGCAAAGAAGCGACTGATCGAAATCGCGAATTGACAGTATTGAGCCATCGGGTAGAGGTTGATATACGAGTTAGCATAGACCCAAATCTTGGCTAACGTTGACGTCACACCACGAGGACATTTCGGGATTTCAAGGAATGGGGCAATCAACACACAGTAGTTGGTGGGAATATTGATGAGCGCGTTGAGCAGTTTGGTTAGATTTTCCGCGGCTGACAATAATCTAAAGCTAGATAGATGTGAGTTAAAAACTTTAGCTTACAATTAGACTTAGCAAACTTTAGCTAAAGCTGTAGCTTGTTAGCTAATACGGTAAAAGTTATGAACCTACTTAATTGGAAAAGTTAAGCGGTTGTTCTTGATGGTATAGTAGATGGCTAGTGGTGTCGAGATGAGGCTCAACAAGAGCACCTGAATCAATCTGGTTAGAACCTAAAGAAATTGGTTAGAACCTAAAGAATCTGGTTAGAACCTGAAAGAATCTGGTTAGAACCTGAATGAATCTGGTTAGAACCTGAATGAATCTGACTAGAACCTGAAGAATCTGGTTTGAACCTGAAGAATCTGGTTAGAACCTGAATGAATCAGGTTAGAACCTGAATGAATCTGGTTAGAACCTGAATGAATCTGACTAGAACCTGAATGAATCTGGTTAGAATCTGAATGAATCTGGTTAGAACCTGAAGAATCTGGTTAGAACCTGAATGAATCAGGTTAGAACCTGAAGAATCTGGTTGTAGCTTTGTTTTGTTTGTTTTAAAGAAACTAGCTTAACAAGTTTAACAAGTTCAAAATTCTACCACAACAGTTCCAAAGTAGATTCCAATTCCTATTTGCTGGGCATGATCATCTCCAATAATCGTGCGATTTGCCACCATCCATTGATTTGACTGATAGGCAAAGAGTAGAAGGCCGTAGGTAGCTAAAAAGACTTGTTGGTGGTTAGAACTACAGGGTTGGGCAAAATTCCAAGACAAGAAACTTGTTTGAAAGTTATTCGTCAACCCTTCCATGAAACTCCCATAGTTCTTTTTCTACTTAATTATCCTCGAAAAAAGTAGTCACACTTTTCTAGACTTAATTTTGTTTTTCCTTGAGTTTTTCAGAAGCCAAAAACGCTGAAAAGGGAGAAAATGAAGCTCCGAGCTAGGATCAATTTTACTTTGCTTTGTCGTTCAAAAGAAAAGCCGGCTAACGGATTTTTCTTTTCAGAAATGTTCCAATAGGTTAAGAAATGAATAAATTTATACTATGGAGAAAATTATGCGGTTAAATTGGCTGGATGCAAAGTTACAACGAAGAACTCTTGTCCGGGTAATTTTGCCCAACCCTGTACCATAGGCTGCTAGCTCAGAATTTGGTATGAACTTGCATGAAGAAATTATGAAGAAATTTCCGGAAAAGTCTCTAGGACCGTCAGTAATTATTGTAGCCATTCTAATAAAAGGTGAGCCACCGTAGCAGTGGCGTTTATAGGGAAAAGCAGTAGCAGTCAACGCCAGTAAACGTATTTCGGTTCGAAATTTTTAAATTCTAGTTCAAAATCTTGCCAACCTGCTAGATCTTTTAACCCAGAAACGCTAAATTCAAATAGTTCGCCAAAATAAGAGGAATAGCAAGACGATTCGCGGCTGGCTTGGATTGACTGGCGTTTATAGGGAAAAGATTTTTAGTTTCTTAACTTTATCAGTGATATGAAAGGCAAGGATCCGAAGACCAACAAAGTGAAAAGATCGGGAAAAGTGCAGAAACTCTAAAACTTTAACAATTTTAAAAGAAAAAAGGAAAGAGGAGACAATAAAAGGAGAATGGACATTTTAACAATAAATAGAATTTTATAAGGGAATAGAGAAAGGGGAACATAAGCGAAGCTAACATAAACGAGTCAAGTCGTGAAGCACCGAATCAGACAACGATTCTTTTAAGGAATGAATTTTGAAGGAATGGGAGTTTCTTTTATATGGGGAAAGGGAGTCTCGAGTACGGTAGTTTAGGTGTATTTTAGAATTTAGAGTTAGAAAGTTGCTAATCCGTACTTGAAGTGCGAAAATTGAGGGTTTTACTCCAGCTATCCAGCTAACGCTTAGCTCCAGCTATCCAGCTATCCAGCTAACGACTAAAGAATTCAGCTATCCAGCTAACGATTAAACAATTCAGCTATCCAGCTAACGACTAAAGAATTCAGCTGTCCAGCTAACGATTAAACAATTCAGCTGTCCAGCTAACGACTAAACACAATTCTGCTATCCAGCTAACGACTAAAGAATTCAGGTATTCATCTAACGACTAAACAATTCAGCTATCTAGCTAGCGACTAAACAATTCAGCTATCCAGCTAACGACTAAAGAATTCAGCTGTCCAGCTAACGACTAAACAATTCAGCTGTCCAGCTAACGACTAAAGAATTCAGCTATCCAGCTAACGACTAAAGAATTCAGCTATCCAGCTAACGACTAAAGAATTCAGCTGTCCAGCTAACGACTAAAGAATTCAGCTATCCAGCTAACGACTAAAGAATTCAGCTGTCCAGCTAACGACTAAACACAATTCTGCTATCCAGCTAACGACTAAAGAATCGAGCTCACCATGCAAAGCCACAGCTATCAATAACATCAAAAAGCCGTCTCGCCATCGTTTAATCACCATCACAAACGAGGAAAATATTTAGAATAAACGGATTCGAATTAAATGAAGGAGATCAGAACTCAAATCTTATGCCGACCCCACGGGATTCAAAATGTGTTTTTTGGAATTTCTCTTCATTTATCTAGGTTTTTGTGGAACACCTACTTGCTGTACTTTGCAAAAATTCTGTACTATTTTTTGTGGTAGAAAGGGTGACTCATAGTCAGAAAAGATCTTTATCCTACAAACTTTTGCCTTGCTTTATAGACTCTGCTTTTATAGAAATAGGCTTGTAAATGTAAATGTAATATAATCAAAGTTTAGGACATTTATTCATGTTCATCAGGAACAACTTTGTTAATTTCAGAGTTCGGGGAATTCTCTTAGAAGGCTTTTGATAAGGGTGTTGATGATGGAAATGATCGAGTTGTTTCAATCGTTTCAAAGTCTCCTTTTGACTTGAATAATCCATCCACTTCGTCTTCTTCCTCATCATCTTTGTAAGAATCCATCCACTTTGTCTTCTTCCTCATCATCGCTGTCATATGATGTGTAATGTGCCAGTCATGTTAATCGTGGCATAGAGAAAGTGAATTCGGCTCTAAACGAAATCAAAGCCGACATTGCTGCTTTTCAGGTTTACCCCACTAATTTCTTTGCAGCACATTTTAGGAAGCAAAACAAGGCAACGGTCGAATCCGTCACAAGGCATTAGTTGATGCAAATCAAATTGGTGGAGATGTTGTCGATAGCATGATCCTTGTGGACCCTCGATTTCCGGTGAGATCGTTGTAAAACAGTGCCTTGGTAGCTACTTTATCCTATTCTGACTACCGTAACCCTTTTCAACCTATATCTAATCGTATAATATATACCATCAGAGAACTACCTGATCGAACACATTGTTCAATGCAAATGGAGATGGAAATGATCGAGTTGTTTCAATTTCTTTTGACTTTCTTCTTCTTTTGACTTAAATAATCTATCCACTTCGTCTTCTTCCTCCACATCTTTGTAAGAATCGGCCATCATCACCGCATCTTCACCCTCAAAGCTGTGAGTCGCGTTTTCCGTGCTCGGTCTCTACGATTGAAATTGTGGTCATTTGGAATAGCTATATTTTTTTAAAAAATCTCTATTTCAGTTCCTAACATTTCCTAGATACGATCTTAAACGTAGGATTTAGGTTTTATGTACTGGCGGATGTTCATCACATTGATGTACCTGCAAGAAAGCTTGCTTGCAAGAAAGCTGATAGATTGCCCTGCAATTCCAGATTTCACCATAGTCTTAGCTGCAAGAACAAATGATTTTTTAAAAATTTTGGTGCTTAGCTACATCGTTTTTTTGTTGTCCCCGTTGTTGTAACGTTTACTTGTTGTTTTGCACTGATGTTAGGGTTTTCTTGAATACAGAAATTGAAATTTCTTGAATCTACAATAAATTGTTTTTATCTTGTAACAGTTGAAAGACGTCAAAACGTAAAAAGATTGAAGAAACACGAAAAAACAGTGCTTATTGATGTATCAATCCAAATCAGACACAACATTTACGAAAAAAAAACTTTAGACCTTGAATCAACTTATCGATCAAATGGCGATCAACTTATCAGGATCTGCCTAATCAATTTTTGTCAGAAAAGATCTCTATTAGATCTAAAAAAAGACCAACTGAAAAATCGTGGAATAAACCTTTTTTCACAAAGATAGTCACAAAGATCTCTTCCATAATTGTCGCTTGAGCAAATAAAGACAAAAAAAGTTCAAAAAAGGTTTTGTAAAAGTTGAATCGTTTGTGTAAACAGCGCGCGATCTGCATATTGTTTGCCTTTTCAATTTCGATGTCATTTTATGGGAAAAAGAACTTTCAACTCGATTTCCGATTTAGCTATAAAATTCTTGTATAAACATTGTAAATGAAGTACGTTTCCTTTTAGGCTTGAGATCGGCCAGGCTATGCACATCCAGCACATCCAAAATGTAATCGACGTGGATTTTGCTTGCGAAATATGTCATTCAATGCGAAAAAATGTGCTGAACACGAAGCTGAAAGAATTTCTCAAGTCTTGTGTACATTATGAGACCAAAAACATACGGATTGATCAACTATGAAGAAACTTATAACACTTTGAATCTGAAAATGACGCTTTGGGACTTTCTTCGCGCTAAATTGTGGATAAATTACCGTAACCCGCAACCTTGGTATAAAAGCAAAGCACTATTTATTCACAAAGCAATTTACTTAAACTTATTCTTCTTTGTTTTTTTAATAATCTTTTCCTCTAATCGTTAATTTTCATTTACTAATATGTTTTCTTTCAGGTGACAAGAAGTGGTTAGGAAAGGAAATGGAGAAACACGATAAACAGGATACAATTTCTAGTAGGTCCAAGGCTGTTAGCCAGTTTAATAATAAAGCCAGACTATACAATATACAAAAATATACAAAAACTATACAAAAATATACAGAAGCCGAATCATGACTTGGCTTCTGGCTCGCCATACTTCATCTGGCTCTGAAAACTCGTCTTTGACCCCTTCAACTGTTATCAAGTTTGCTTTCCGTGAGCTTATAGGCACAGTTTCGCTTTGCATCCTCGTAGTTGGTTTGGACTAAAACGATATAATAGTATTAAATAGATTCTTTCTTTAACAGTATTCTTTGTCAGACTTTAAGGTTTTGTTAGAAAAAGTAAAAGAATTGAAATCAGAGTTCTTACAACTGACACCTAGGCCTGTAAGCCAAGCTAGGCCGGTCCAGGTTTGGCTTTTGATGAGCCCAAGGATTTTTGTGCGGTACAGCCATTACTGGATTTTTGGACACTGGTCAGCCAATAAGGTAAGAAACAGCCACCAAAAATTTTCGATATCACCGAGCACTTTTGGAGACTATACAGTGGCGGACAATTAAATAGATTAACATTTCCATTTACCCAAATGCCACGAATTTTCTATTATTTGCACATCCACTCAAAAAGACATCAACAGCTATTTTTTTTTATGTTATCTTAGCTTTCGATTGGCACCACTCATAGCTGAGAGTTCTTTCTCTATAACTTGGTAGTTTAGGTTTTCTTCAGCCTACTCCATTATAGCGACGACAATTAACCCATTCGAAACTTCTGCAGCGAATAATCGTTGCAACAAAAACTCAGAAACGGACCGCTGCAGCGATTATTCGCTGCAGCGCTAATTGAGCTATTTTCATTCAATTAATTGGCTTTTTTTTTGCTGTTTTTCAGCATTACATGTATATTCCAATTGTAGCAGATCTACAAATTACGTGGGCAAAAAAGATGTTTCATATTTACCCGGAATCAATGCAGCCTCTGGTTTTGCATTGAAATATTCCATAATAGCTCTAATCTTATAAAGCCGATCTCCTGCAGGATCCAGTTCATTATCATAATAACGCAGGTTTCGAAGAATAGATTCAAATTTTGCTCTTGACATAATGCGGGACATGTGGGAAAATCCTCCTAATCCATCACGAATCCTCGGTAATTTGACGATTCCCATTTGAAGATACAGAGCCAGGAAGAGCTTGAAAGATTTTGCATCGAAATCCTGCCAGTTTGTTTTCCTTTTTCCATGTTTATTAGATTCACCTACTAAAATATTGTCGTCGATAAAATAAGAACAATAATCTATAGGATCTTGAAAAGTACTGAAGTCAAATCCAAATCGTTCTTCATCAAAAATAAATGGTGTAGGAGACTCTCTTGCATCTTTCACAACCATAAATAAACTGCTTCGGAGTCAAAAATGTCATGGGCTTGGTCCGTAGACGAAAAAAAAGAAAAAACGCTGCGGTTTCGAATGGGTTAAATAGAACCGATCTTGAAATCTGCTTTTTTTTCGAAACTTTCGATTTAATTAGTTTTGTTGCAAGTTTTCTCTATTTAGATATAGGACGAGGTATTCATATCACACCATTTCAAAGACAGGAAGTTGTGAAACTACGGAAAGAGGGCAAGAGTTTTGCGGAAATTGGTTGCGCACTGAAAATCTCGAAAGTTGCTGCCGTGAAAGCCGCAAAGCATGTCGAAACAACAGGATTTATTCAGAATAACCAAATATCATTTAGTATTTATTTAATAACTCAACAATTGAAAAAAGTGTGTTTGAAAAATGACGAAAAATGAGAAAAAGACCCGGATTTTTTCAAAAGACTCGCATTTCCGAGAAGAACCCGTCTTTCTTATCAGTACTTCAAGTAATAAGTAAGATAAATACTTTGAAAACATGAAAGAATCAAATTTATGACTAATTATGATTTATGACAGACGGACAGACCTCTCTTCTGCTTTATATATTGTAGATTGTTAGGCAAGTCTGATCTACATCATTATCTACCTCATTATCTACTTCATTATTTCTCAAACTCATCAAAAACGAACGATATTCTCCTTGAGTCATCGGATCGGGGAATGGATAGAAGCAATAATCATACGCGTCAATGGCTGTACCAGTAGGACATGTACTAATCACCGAAGTGAAAAGCTGACAAGCAAAGAAGCTGATTGTGAGCAGGAAAGAATTCATTTTTGTAGCAAAAGGGATATTTCCAAGCTACCAGGAAAAGCTTTATACAAAATTTTTGTCAGCAAAGATCTAGCAAATTAGATCTAAAAAAAGGCGAACTTACAAGAGAAATCGTGGCCTGCCTGGCCAATCCCGAGCCAAAAAAAAGCCTGGCCGATCTCAAGCCTAAAAGGAAACGTACTTCATTTGCAATGTTTATACAAGAATTTTATAGCTAAATCGGAAATCGAGTTGAAAGTTCTTTTTCCCATAAAATGAGATCGAAATTGAAAAATCAAACAATATACAGATCTTTTCGCACACTGTTTACACAAACGATTCAACTTGCGCAAAAACTTTTTTGCGAAAGTTGAACTTTTTCTCTTTATTTGCTCAAACGACAATTATGGAAGAGATCTTTGTGACTATCTTTGTGAAAAAGGGTTTATTCCACGATTTCTCTTGTAAGTTCGCCTTTTTTTAGATCTAATTTGCTAGATCTTTGCTGACAAAAATTTTGTATAAAGCTTTTCCTGGTAGCTTGGAAATATCCCTTTTGCTACAAAAATGAATTCTTTCCTGCTCACAATCAGCTTCTTTGCTTGTCAGCTTTTCACTTCGGTGATTAGTACATGTCCTACTGGTACAGCCATTGACGCGTATGATTATTGCTTCTATCCATTCCCCGATCCGATGACTCAAGGAGAATATCGTTCGTTTTTGATGAGTTTGAGAAATAATGAAGTAGATAATGAGGTAGATAATGATGTAGATCAGACTTGCCTAACAATCTACAATATATAAAGCAGAAGAGAGGTCTGTCCGTCTGTCATAAATCATAATTAGTCATAAATTTGATTCTTTCATGTTTTCAAAGTATTTATCTTACTTATTACTTGAAGTACTGATAAGAAAGACGGGTTCTTCTCGGAAATGCGAGTCTTTTGAAAAATCCGGGTCTTTTTCTCATTTTTCGTCATTTTCAAACACACTTTTTTCAATTGTTGAGTTATTAAATAAATACTAAATGATATTTGGTTATTCTGAATAAATCCTGTTGTTTCGACATGCTTTGCGGCTTTCACGGCAGCAACTTTCGAGATTTTCAGTGCGCAACCAATTTCCGCAAAACTCTTGCCCTCTTTCCGTAGTTTCACAACTTCCTGTCTTTGAAATGGTGTGATATGAATACCTCGTCCTATATCTAAATAGAGAAAACTTGCAACAAAACTAATTAAATCGAAAGTTTCGAAAAAAAAGCAGATTTCAAGATCGGTTCTATTTAACCCATTCGAAACCGCAGCGTTTTTCTTTTTTTTCGTCTACGGACCAAGCCCATGACATTTTTGACTCCGAAGCAGTTTATTTATGGTTGTGAAAGATGCAAGAGAGTCTCCTACACCATTTATTTTTGATGAAGAACGATTTGGATTTGACTTCAGTACTTTTCAAGATCCTATAGATTATTGTTCTTATTTTATCGACGACAATATTTTAGTAGGTGAATCTAATAAACATGGAAAAAGGAAAACAAACTGGCAGGATTTCGATGCAAAATCTTTCAAGCTCTTCCTGGCTCTGTATCTTCAAATGGGAATCGTCAAATTACCGAGGATTCGTGATGGATTAGGAGGATTTTCCCACATGTCCCGCATTATGTCAAGAGCAAAATTTGAATCTATTCTTCGAAACCTGCGTTATTATGATAATGAACTGGATCCTGCAGGAGATCGGCTTTATAAGATTAGAGCTATTATGGAATATTTCAATGCAAAACCAGAGGCTGCATTGATTCCGGGTAAATATGAAACATCTTTTTTGCCCACGTAATTTGTAGATCTGCTACAATTGGAATATACATGTAATGCTGAAAAACAGCAAAAAAAAAGCCAATTAATTGAATGAAAATAGCTCAATTGCGCTGCAGCGAATAATCGCTGCAGCGGTCCGTTTCTGAGTTTTTGTTGCAACGATTATTCGCTGCAGAAGTTTCGAATGGGTTAATTGTCGTCGCTATAATGGAGTAGGCTGAAGAAAACCTAAACTACCAAGTTATAGAGAAAGAACTCTCAGCTATGAGTGGTGCCAATCGAAAGCTAAGATAACATAAAAAAAATAGCTGTTGATGTCTTTTTGAGTGGATGTGCAAATAATAGAAAATTCGTGGCATTTGGGTAAATGGAAATGTTAATCTATTTAATTGTCCGCCACTGTATAGTCTCCAAAAGTGCTCGGTGATATCGAAAATTTTTGGTGGCTGTTTCTTACCTTATTGGCTGACCAGTGTCCAAAAATCCAGTAATGGCTGTACCGCACAAAAATCCTTGGGCTCATCAAAAGCCAAACCTGGACCGGCCTAGCTTGGCTTACAGGCCTAGGTGTCAGTTGTAAGAACTCTGATTTCAATTCTTTTACTTTTTCTAACAAAACCTTAAAGTCTGACAAAGAATACTGTTAAAGAAAGAATCTATTTAATACTATTATATCGTTTTAGTCCAAACCAACTACGAGGATGCAAAGCGAAACTGTGCCTCTTCTGTGGCTGGCTTTCTTCAAAATGGACTCTGGGGAAGCGCTTGTTGGTTCAGCTCGCAATGTAAGCCCAATTCAGTTCAGCACAGTTCAACAACAAACTCTACACAGTGTCCTAAAAAACAGAATTCAAAAATGAAAACTCTTTTGCTAGATTAGTTTCGTTTAAATCGTTTCATAGCGGTAATTCTACTGCAAAAAAAAAAGCTAAAAAGCTAAACAATGCTATTTTCCACGTAAACTAGCCGAATGTCTTTTTAACACCAACTTGATACTTTTAAAAAGATTAATTGGTCATCCCCATGAGTCCGAAGAGTCATGGGGATGCCTTCAGATTGGAATTGGAATTAGAACGTCGCGTAGTCTATCTATAAATAACTGCCCCTACTCTTTCAAATCGGTTTTCTCGCAAGAGCTTCGCCGTTTCTCTTCACATGAAATTTTTTCGGCGAAAACCTTTCATTTTCTTCTTTTTAGCTTTATTTATATAATAAATATAAATAAAGCTAAAAGCTACTTCTATCTATTCCTTTATTCCCTTATAATATATATTTTATTGATGAGCATGGCCTGAGAACAACGGTAGACAAGAATCCTAGTGATTCAATAACGATGAGCTTCCAGATTTCAACGGATCATTCTGGGCTGGTATTCACAAAGCTGACAATGGCACATGGACCTACAGCGATGGTGCATACCTTGATGAAAACAATTGGGCATATGGTGGGTGGTGAAATTGTTAATGATTGACTATAGACTTAAAGGTGGGATCTGAATTAAGCCCGATTCTCACTAAAATCAAATTTTCGGCGACTAGATTTAGTAATATAATTTTTTTTGATGAACTTGCATGTAGAAATGATTGAAGTAAGTCGATTTATCAATAATTTATCAGGTATCAAAAGATGAGATCAGCTTTTCAGATCAGTTTCAACCTTCAGTGTCTTACCTGTTATCTTGGTTTAAGAGGATGGAAAATTTGTAGAAAAATATAGTCAAATCTAGAACAATTAGAGAATGTCTTGAACATTGTAGAACAATTAGGTCAAGGTCTCGAATATTGTAGAACAATTAGAACAATGCCTTGAACATTGTAGAACAATCAGATCAATGTCTTGAACAATGTAGAACAATTAGAGAATTTCTCGAATATTGTAGAACAATTAGAAAATGTCTTGAACATTGTAGAATAATTAGATCGATGTCTTGAACATTGTAGAACAATTAGATCAATGTCTCGAAAACTTTCCCTGAAATACTCAACAGGTGTATTTCCAGGTTTCCCATCAGATGATCACTCGTGTGCTGTCGCAAATCGAGTAGGTGAATGGGAATCGGTTGATTGCAGTACATCACACTATTTTCTCTGCCTGATACCGTCGACGACCAATGTCAATAAGTAAATGAGTAACTGATGAAGCTGCTGGAATCCCGTGGGAGTGGCTCAGAATCTCGTTCTTGTCGTTTATCGATTTTAGTTTTAAAAGTTTTGTTTTAGTTGTTGAAATCTAATTTCTTGTCTTACTACAGTATCCCAGACGCTAAAAATTTTTCAGTTTCAGCTAAAGACTGGACTTGGTATACTGTAGCTGAGGCAAGATTCGGGGCAAGATTCTGACAAGTCTGGGAGATTCTTTATAGAATAGGATATGCTATTTTTATCTATTAGATTGACGAAAAAGTTATGACACTTTTTTCACCGTTCTCTTTCGAAATCTCTAAAAGTCCAAGACGTCCGCAGCTATTGAAGTTTGCTAACTATACTGTGAAAACTGTCATCAACTCAATACAAATGCATAACCTCAATCCTAAACAAAGCTACAAAGCTACAAAGCTACAAAGCTACAAAGCTTATCGTATACTTGGTGTGTTTTGTGATGGCGTTTGTGTTTGTCATACCTGGTATTCGTCACCTTTCTGGAGCACTTAATTCCATCAAATTTTTGAAAGAACAAGAATCTAGTGCATTAGGAAGATGCGATTCAATTTTAATTCAATTTCTGGGTGAAAGTACGACCCAATTTACAAATCCTCATAGAGATTTATTATCCATGTGTGCTCAGGAAGTCAAAGTACTGAAGTAGGACATTTAAGTGGGAAAATGTTCGGAAAAAAGAGAACGTAAAAATTTTACTCCTTTGTTTGCTCAATTGGCAGATTGGGGAAAAAATATATGGAAAAAAGTAAAAGTCTACGACTTTTTTCCTTTATTTGGACAGTGTTTAGCTCAAATAGACGGATTTCCCTAAAATTTTGTGTACTTTTCGTTGAAATTTCCTCTTTTCTGATGTTATTTATTGCTAATTTTATGCCATTTGTGTGATTTGTGATACTCATCGATAAAAGTTGTAAAAAACTTGATTTTCTCATCATTGCGTATCAAATTTGATCCTTAGAAATGGTAAATTCAGCAATTTTCTGTCTGACAATGATAATATTCTTATTTATTGGACAATGGTACAGTAGTGGACATAATTTTGGAAACTTTTGTTTTTTCTAAAAAAAATTTCTTAGTAAAATCTGATTCGGTATGTTTACTAACGGAAATATGTAGACCTAAAAAGCACGTAATAATCCATAGACAGAACTGCTGAACTTTTTGAAAACTATTATTTCTAATGCACTTATCTATAAACCTAGAGGACATAAATTTGGAAACTTTTAAAAACAACTCTAAATAATAACGTAACAAACCATTAAACTTCTAAATTAAAACAAAAACAAATAAATCAATTCAATATTTGTGGAAGATCCTTTAGAATCAATAATAGTCTGGCACCGAGCGCTCATCGAAGCGACCAAGTTGTCGATGGTTGTTGTTTGAATTTCCATCCACTTCTGAGCCAAAAGCTCGAATTTTTCATTAAGATTATGGCTCTGAACGCCTGATAGGCTTTCTCCAGAACTTCTTATAGATGTTCAATATGGTTAAATCAGAACTCTTGGCTCGGCCATTCCATAAAATAATTCCTGCAGATGAAAACTCTTTCAAAGGCTGATCCAAAGAAGTCATCGGTCGAGATTTACGCGGATTTGCCTGACAAAGTCAAAAAGGAAATGAGTTCAAAGACAGTACAACGTCGTTTACGCGGACTTGGATTGTTTGGTCAACGTCCTGCTCATAAGCCACTGATCTCTGCAAAGATTCGCAAGCTTCGGGGCAAATTCACAGAAGAGCATCGATATTGGACGGCTCAACAATGGTCTATTTGCCTCTTTTCGGACGAAAGTAAGTTCGCATTGTTTGAATCTGATGGCTTTCGATATGTTCGTCGTCATACCAACAAAAGGTTCAGTAAAGGATACGTAATTCCGACTTTGAAGCATGACGGTGGTAGTGATCTTGTATGGAGTGGCTTTTTAGCTTACGGAATGATCCCATTAAAATGCACTGATGGAATTATAGACAAACGTGCTTGCTTGGACATTTTATCGAAACATAAGCTTCCCTCCAGTTGAATGCCTTTCAGTTGATGCCTTCCAACTTTCTTTTTTTCGACAGGACAAACATAGTTCGCGGCTTGTAAAGGACTGGTTTCAGAAGGAAGGAATTATTTTATGGAATGGCCGAGCCAAGAGTTCTGATTTAAACCATATTGAACATCTATAAGAAGTTCTGGAGAAAGCCTATCAGGCGTTCAGAGCCATAATCTTAATGAAAAATTCGAGCTTTTGGCTCAGAAGTGGATGGAAATTCAAACAACAACCATCGACAACTTGGTCGCTTCGATGAGCGCTCGGTGCCAGACTATTATTGATTCTAAAGGATCTTCCACAAAGTATTGAATTGATTTATTTGTTTTTGTTTTAATTTAGAAGTTTAATGGTTTGTTACGTTATTATTTAGAGTTGTTTTTAAAAGTTTCCAAATTTATGTCCTCTAGGTTTATAGATAAGTGCATTAGAAATAATAGTTTTCAAAAAGTTCAGCAGTTCTGTCTATGGATTATTACGTGCTTTTTAGGTCTACATATTTCCGTTAGTAAACATACCGAATCAGATTTTACTAAGAAATTTTTTTTTAGAAAAAACAAAAGTTTCCAAAATTATGTCCGCTACTGTATAATTCTTATTTGAGAAATTTGAATCATCAACAAAAAGCCTTTCAATCCAAAGCTAATTTCTCATCTTTACAGTTTATCTCCTCGTTCACTTCTTGTACATCAGTTGAACTTGCCTTTCACATAGTGTGCCGAATAGTTGACACCATACTCAAATTTGGGATCTAGGCAATCAATTACCTTTGCTTTTGTCAAGTTTGGCCGACATCTTGTGACTGCTTTCAAGTTGGGAGAGCCGTTACCAACTGTTCGTCTATTTCTTCTCCACGTAAGTTCAAAAGCACGGCATTTTGAATGTTGCTAAGTTGGGATTTTGCCGAATATTTGATACCATATTCAAATTTGGGATCTAAACAATCAATTACCGTTGCTTTTGTCAAGTTTGGCCGATATCTTGTCACTGCTTTCAAGCCGTTACCAATTTTGTGCTAACTTTTCGTCTATTTCTTCTCCACGTAGGTTCAAAAGCACTGCATTTCGAATGTTGCTAAGTTGGGATTGACGATATTCGACACCACATTCAAATTTGGGATCGAAACAATCAATTACCTTTTGTATTGCCAATTTTCGTGTAGAGCATTTAGCCCGTTTACCGAATATCTTTAACGTTTTTTGCTTTATTCGAGAGAGCCAGAATTTTTGCCAGAATTTTATATCTCTTTTTTCATTCATAGAAAGGCGATACACTTCTTGTAAATCGAATAAAACTATTGTTTTCTAATAAAACTAAAAGTAAGTTTATTGGTCAGATTGCACGTCAATTTGGGAAAAAATTTGTCGATTTTGATCAGATATCACGATCAATGAAGGAGGAAGCATCTCCGCCCGGATAAAAGATTGCAAAGGAAACAGTACAAACCAATTTGATTCAGTATACATAGAATGATTGTAAATTGACGAAACTTGTGTGCACTTTTTTTACCAATATTGTAAACAGCATTGATTTTGTCACTTGTTTCAGTCTCATCATTATTTACTTCTTGGCTCAACTTCAGAAAGTCAGCAGAAGTCGGCGCAGTCGAGCTTTGGCAATTTGCAATCGAGCTCTTTGCCTCCTTTGGATTCATTGTTCTTCAATGAATTACGCAAAGAAGTCATTGTTTTTATCGGCTGCGGAACAGCTTGCTTGTCTGTTCCTGCTGCGTTTTGCTCAATCATTAAAATTGCAGATGATTTGTTTGTCGTTCTGTTATAGTAGTAGATTCTCGCGACTGTTGTAACGTGATTGACTTGCTTGTGGAATAAAAGTTAGCATTTAATCCAGAATAATGAAAACGAATAAAAGAATCACAATCAATTCTTATATGTTATATCCGATTTAGATTTTTATTCGATTTAGACTCAACAATAGTTTTAACATTTGCTGCGTTGGTAAATCATGTTTTTGTCACGTTTTTGACAGTTTTTGATGCAATTTGGAGACATCCTACTTATTATAAGCGAGAAAGTATGTGTGTCTGTGTGTCTGTTCCGCTGTTTTAGAAAAAAGGCTGGGCCAATCGATCTAAAAGTTTGACATTACAAACCTAACTTTTAACGTAGTTTCTGATAATATTTGACACATAATTTGACCGTGTTTCCTAAAAAGCGAAATTAAAGAATCCATACTATCGCGTGGCCGAGTGGTAGTGCGTCCCGGCGTCCGATCTGTCAAGCTGAGCAAAGTTAGGCTCGACTTGTCCTGAGCCAAGTATCTGTCGCTCTTTGTGGAGAGGCCGTGTGCCAGATGCCGTTTTTCTTACGAGACATACAGACACACGTACTTTCTCGTACGAAAGGTGCAAAGAGTGGGCTCGCGTCTCTTCAGCGACAAAGGATCTCTCGTCCTTTCACTATTTCAATCGTCATTCACGGCCTACCACCCGCTTACGAACTGATTTACGTTGAAAACACGGAATGCCGTCCGATCTGCCAAGTTGAGCAACGTTGGGCTCGGTTGGTCTCGGGTTCGATCCCGGCCAGATGCAATCTCTGTTGGTTTCTTTCTTTTTACACTTTTTGAGTCAGAAAGGTCACGGGTTCAATTCCTCTAAGGGTGAAGAAAATAAAATCCGTCTGCACGGAGCTAGGAAAACCCACCCCCGGGTTTCTTGCAATACTTGGTTAATGGCTGGTTAATGATAAAACTAAAACTTCATATATTTTAACTTAAAAAGTGGCTAAATTCGGCAAAAGTTACGGGGTTTTAGTGCGGCTATTGCTTCTGACCTTGTTTTTGGTATAAAAAACGATTTAGTACAAACACGCATCAAAAATATGACAAAAACATGATTTACCAACGCAGCAAAAGTTAAAACTATTGTTGAGTTTAAAGCTAAATCTAAATCTAAATTAAAAAA